TGTGTGTGTGTGTGTGTGTGTGTGTGTGTGTGTGTGTGTGTGTACACACACACCATAAAGTACAGTACAAAAATGTATTATGCCATGGGACCTAATACGATAAAAGTTAAATGTCATCTACGACAGAGTAATGTTGAATTTCATTTACGATTTAAACAGATGTGATTAACGTCGATAATAAGCACACAGCTAGCTGGATGTTACCATTTATAGCAATATAACAGCACATCAGAGCTTATACTTACCACCGTATTAGGATCAGCTGCCAGCCTTAAATACAGGTATCTCCTGCGTCGACCAAAAAACTGTCGAAGCTGCTTCAATACGGACABGACAACAAAAAAACAAAGCACCGATTCTGGATCCATTTTCTTTTTCCSGCGAGCTGCAAACTAGGCGGAAGTACGTGGTCGGTCACTGAACACGTTTGCCGCACGTAAGGCGGAAGCACGTAGTCACGCAAATGTGAAGGCTACAACRTCCCATTTAAACGGTTTCGCCCAGCCCACCCGGTCTTTGGAGTGTGTGGCCTTCACGGCCCAGCTAKGCTGGGTCCTCATGAGGACCCAGCCCACGAATTGAGACGCAGCCCCTGTCTCTGTGGCGCAAGTGGTTAGCTCGTTTGGCTGTTAACCGAAAGGTTGGTGCTTCAAGCCCACCCAAGGACATTGTATTGCTTGCTTTCCGCAAAGGTCTCAAACCATTTGTGTGCTCTGCAAGCTTTTGGGAAACCTCAATGTAACCTCAAGTTACAAAACATTGCCAACTTATGGTTGCCTGACATGAGGCCACACCCATCCTAGCTTTCATCTAACACCCTGTCTCTGTGGCGCAATTGGTTGCTCTGCGAGCAAACCATTTGTGTGCTCTGCAAGCTTTTTGGAAACCTCAATGTACTGTAATACATTTCATTTGTCTAAAAAGGTGTATTTCTTGCTTTTCTATTTTGTTTTCAAACAAATATCATTAGCACTTGTCCGAAAGAAATATTCTCCACTACGTGTTCCCAGGACAGACAGTGCTTTGGTAAGGGCCAAATCTGAGAAAGATTGAAAGTATCATGGTCCTTTCATAGTTTAATCTCAATAAGAAATCACTGTTGACAAMGGCWGCATCCCTACTTGCTTTTTCAATGCTTGACTACAGCCTGACTAGCTCTGTCGGTAGAGCATGAGACTCTTAATCTCAGGGTTGTGGGTTTGATCCCCACGTTGAGCGTAGGCTTTTCAAATCGGAATCTCTACCTGTACACCTAACTCTAGCCTTTTCACAAACCAAGTCCTACTTCAACTACAGTCTAACAAACTGTCCTAACCACAAGTTCTCCAATTGATATCGCATTGACAGCTAATCAGTGCATTATGTCAGATCTTCTTGTGTGTGAATAGTGACCATCTGTCACTATGCAAAGTAACCTTACTTGTGCTTGCTCATGCAAAAACTTCTTGAGTTACAGAGCCTGTTGTAAAGGTAGCCAGTTTACAAATACAGTATATCAGTGAACTAAATGCAGAATGAACGAGTTTCATTGCATACAGTACAATAAACATAACTGAAAAATAGTCTAGCCAGTGTCTATTTTACTGCATTCATCCTACATGCAAACTAGTTCACTGGCTTACACAGTGATATAGGACACATTGCTTGACGCTAAACCATAGCACAACATTGGAGTCTGAATACAGTTAAACTTTGCATTAGCTTGAAGTGTATTTTATACTGCCCATAATGTGATTTAAACTCTTACGCTGAGATTAAAAGTCTCAGCTAGCTAGGTTCTGAGAGACAGACAGACGGACGGATAGACGGATGGACGGACGGACGGACGGACAGACAGACAGACGTATAGACAGGATTGGCACAAAATAATCTTGCAACACAGCATCATATTCCCCCTTTTACAGCTATTTAGTAAGAGTTGTCTGGGTTGTTTTGGAAAGTAAATCAGAAAACTGTGGATAGAAACTAAGTACTTCCTTAGCATGTGAGTGAAAAAGTCACAAAATGTTGCCAACTTATGGTTGCCTGAAATGAGGCCACGCCCACCCTAGCTTTCCTCTAAAACCCTGTCTCTGTGGTGCAATCGGTTAGCGCGTTCGGCTGTTAACTGAAAGGATGGTGGTTCAAGCCCACCCAGGGATGTTGTACTGCTAGCTTTCTGCAAACATTTTTGTATTCTGCAAGCTTTTTGGAAACCTCAATGTACTGCATTTCATTTGTCTACAAAGGTGTATTTGTTGCCTTTCTGTTTTGTTTTCAAGCAAATATCATTAACACTTGTCCGAAAGAAATATTCTCCACTACGTGTTCCCAGGACAGACAGTGCTTTGGTAAGGGCCAAATCTGAGAAAGATTGAAGGTATCTTGGTCCTTTCATTGTTTAATCTCAATAAGAAATCACTGTTGACAACGGCTGCTTCCCTACGTGCTTTTTCAATGCTTGACAACCGCCCGACTAGCTCAGTCGGTAGAGCATGACGCTCTTAATCTCAGGGTCGTGGGTTCGAGCCCCATGTTGGGCATAGGTTTTTCAAATGGGAATCTCTACCTGTACAACCAACTCTAGCCTTATCACAAACCAAGTCCTACTTCAACTACAGTCTAACAAACTGTCCTAACCACAAGTTCTCCAGTTGATATCGCATTGAAAGCTAATCAGAGCATTATGTCGTATATTCTTGTGTGTGACTAGTGACTATCTATCACTATAGAAAGTAACCTTACTTGTGCTTGCTCATGCAAACACTTCTTGAGTTACTGAGCCTGTTGTAAAGGTAGCCAGTTTGCATCTACAGTATATCATTGAACTAAATGCTGAATGAACGAGTTTCTTTGAATACAGTACAATAAACATAACTGAAAGACAGTCTCTATTTTGCTGCATTTTTCCTACATGCATACTAGTTCACTGGCTAACACATTGATATAGGACACTTTGCTTGAAGC